CCTTAACTCTCAGGATGACAGTTGCTGCTTATGTGTCTTTATAGTGCAGGCAGACCTCTCTGATGGAGCTTATAAATGGTGCTATATCTTGCATAACCCTGTGACTCTTGGGATTATGTTGCTAGGAGTCTATCTTCTGGTAAACTTTCCCTTAGCAAACAGGGATAAGTAAATATTCTGTCCAAAATGGGAAAATTTTAAGCTGGTGACAATTACTGTGTGTGACTAGTGCTACTAGTACTGAATGTACTGGTAACTTGGGCCAATTTCACCTACAAGGATTGATTCAGACCCATACGTTTATACAACAGGTTACCATGGCAAAATATTATTATTCTGGCATAGTCACATATGATATTTGAAGACGTGGTGTATGATTGTTTTATGTTCATTCCTTACCAGTTTCCATTTTTTAAGAACATATATGGGTTGGCATAACTATTCTCAGACTATGCCTGCTGCTATGGTCTTTGCCAGGAAATTCATGCTACAAAAAGTACGCAGAGTGGTAAGTGAGGTGGGCAGATATGATGGGTGTTGATCTGTCCATGAAATAATGAAAACATTTTTTATCCTTCCTGGATAAAATAAAATCCTTCCTTCCTCACATTACACCAACTATATGAGATAAGGTTCAAGATATGCTATTGCTAAAGCAGAATAATTTGTTTATGAAAACAAACACAAACACTGATTTATAAAAATGGTGACCCCCTTGTTAAATCCAGGAAACATTCACTAAATATACCAACCTAATGGTAAACTGTAATATCAAGAAATTAGAATAGGATTGATTAAGCAATACTTTAAAGAGAACTTTTGAAAGAGATTGTGCCAAGCAGACATGGCAATTGAGTCCAAAATAGTTTCATACCAATATAACAGGAGACTCTTCTGTGTAGGTGGAAATCAATCTAGGGACTATACTCTCCAGATTCCTATCTGAAGATGATGCAACCTTCATTACTGAACAGTCAACATTCATGGAGTGATGGGCACAGTACTCCAGCACAATATACGATCAGCTATCTCACCTGTCCTTCCTATTTTCATAACATTCCCTTGTTATGGGGTTAGTATAGGACATTATATCTATTATACCTATAAAGAAAGCAAAGAATCACATGGTAGAGGATCTAGTGCTAAAAGCGTCTTTACAAAAACTAAAACTAGGCCAGGAGCATTGGCTCACACCTGTAATTCCAGGATATTGGGAGGCTGAGGTGGGTGGATTGCCTGAGCTCACAAGTTCAAGACCAGCTGGAGCAAAAGAGAGACCCCCATCTCTACTAAAAATAGAAAAAAACTGAGACAAGAGGATCTCTTGAGCCCAAGTTGGGGGTTGCTATGAGCTATGACACCAGGGAAGTCCACCCAGAGCAAAAGCTTGAGACTCTGTCTCAAAAAAAAAAAAAAATCAAAAACAAAAGCTACAGCCTAAAACTCATCAAATGGTTGCTTCTGTTATCTAACTACTCATGAAGTAAGAAACAGTACACAGACGAATTTCAATGCTGTTTCAATTACACAAACTCAAGAGGGGTAGCAAATGCTGTAGTAACCAATGATGAATGTTACTTTTATATTACAGATACGACAGCAATACAAGCCACATAGGTCAATGACCCTCAACTTAATGTAGCTTTCATGCGTATCATGGATAAGAAATAATATAAAAGAAAACTATAAAGCCGGGAGGCACCTGTGGCTCAGTGGGTAGGGTGCCAGCCCCATATACAGAGGGTGGCAGGTTCAAACCCGGGCCCGGCCAAACTGCAACAAAAAACTAGCTGGGCATTGTGGCAGGCACCTGTAGTCTCAGCTACTTGGGAGGCTGAGGCAAGACAATAACCTAAGCCCAGGAGTTGGAGGTTGCTGTGAGCTGTGTGATGCCATGGCACTCTACTGAGGGCGATAAAGTGAGATTCTATCTCTACAAAAAAGAAAAGAAAAAAAGAAAACTATAAAGCCTTCATGCAGACATGGAATTCTGATGAATGTGCTATCTAAATGGCAAGTTAAATATGAATAATTGTTGGAAAGGCTTTGTATATTTGAAATATTAAGGTTTTCATTAAAATTTGAGAATGTAAGGATTATGTAAATCGTCTTTATCCTGTATGACTGGGCATCAAGCTATAATGCAAAATTAGATTTAAAATACTGGATATATTGAGTAGACAGCTTATTTAAGTAATTAACTGGTGTATTAATATTCATTGACCATTATCTAGTTTGTCTCTAAATTAAACATTTCCCAAGCTTTAAACTGGTAGTGCAGTATACATTTTATAAAGCACCTTCCATAATATTTTCTTCAAAAGGTTTACCTTATGATACTCTTATAGCCTTTAAATGGGAGCATTACCCAGAAGTATACCAATGATTAAAAAGGTCATACATCTTTTTCCACATTCTATGATACCTGGGAAGATAGAATTTGCAAAGCCTGCATGGAACTCCACATCACAGAGTAAACTATCAGAACAGTTATACTTAGCTTGAAGAACTAATATCACGTTCATGGCAACTGGATATTGGTATGACCATTGGAACATTAGTTTGTAGTTTTAAATATTAAACCCTAACTAAATAGAACCATTTTGAAGAACTCCTACAACAAACACTTAGTTAATCGGAAAAAGATAACCTTTTGTTTTGTTTTTTGTTGAGACAGAGTCTTGCTCTGTCACCCAGGCTAGAGTACAGTGGTGTCATCATAGTACTCTGCAACCTCAAATTCGTGAGTTCAAGAAATCCGTCTGCTTCACACTCTAGAGTAGCTGGAACTACAGGTGCACATCACTATGTCCAACTATTTTTTCTACTTTTTGTAGAGATTGGGGGAGGGGTCTCACTATGATGCTCCGGTGAACTTGAACTCCTGGCTTCGAGCAGTCCTCCTGCCTTGGCCTCCCAAAGTGTTAGTATTACAGAAATGAGCAACCACATCCAGCATTAATTAACTTTTATAGTGAAACATGGTTTTTCATTTGTGTTATCTCATTGGAGTCTCCATGTAATTGTGGAAGTTAAGTAGAGAAGTACCATCTTAAGTTCTATCTCTTAGAAATGAAGTAACTCAGAGTTTATGAGATGTCACCTAAGGTCAGATATAGCAGTGAGGCTGTGACTGTACCCCAGATCTCCTGAAACTTCATATGCAAAGCACCTAGTGCAGTTCCTGACTCTCTTTGTAAAACAGATGAACGATGCTTCTTTTTTTCTCCTAACTCAGAGCTCTTTTCCACTTTAAGGCACTGCCCAGTCTTGTAGCAGTAGATTTAAGGAACACACACAAAAACTGTTGATGAAACTTGAATGATACCAAAATGAAAAAAATAAAATAGTCCTGTTAGTCGTAACATCTAGGAATTACCTTTATCTTTACAATAGTTAAGTTTCCATTCTTGAACTGGAATCGTCTGCAACAGAAACTAGTAACAGGAACTCCAAAGGAGTAGTACAGGTTGAACATCCCTAATCTAAAAATTTGAAATCTTAAATACTTTAAAATCTAAACTTTTTGAGCGATAACATGATGTCACATGGGTAGCTGAGATAGTGACATCTTTGCTTTCTGATGGTTCATGTACATAACTTTGTTTCATACACAAAATTATTAAAAATCTTGTATAAAATTACCCTCAGGCTATGTGTAAAAGGTGGATATATAACAAATGAATGTCATGTTTAGACTGGGGTCCTATCCCAAGATATCTCATTATGTATATACAGATATTCCAAAATCCTAAAAAGTACAAAATCTAAAACACATTTAGTCCCAAGCATTTCAGATAGGGGATACTCAGCCTCTGTATCACTCGAGAAAATGGTTCCTGAGGAGACTATCACATGAAGTAATACATCTCTATTAGCCAGTGCAGCCATAAAGAAAAATGTTAATGAGGCCAAATTGGTCATGACGAGGGTAAAACAATTACCAAGAAATTGAAAAGGTTTCTGTTAAGTTTAATTCATTTTCACACAATTTGAAAAAGAATCTCAAATGCATCACAGCAAATCTTATTAATTAAACCAAAAATCCATTAATGTTTTCTGCTTTTACACTTTAATTTGTATATCTTTATCCTTAATTTAAGAATAATTATGAATAAAACATAAAAGTCAATGTTCTGCAATCACGTATGTCTTATTGTACATACCTTTTCTGTCCTCATATTTTCTCTATACTCTAGTACATAATATTCAGGTTTGATGACCTTGACAATAGGACTTATAAAACATACTCATAAATCTGAAATTCGTCAACCAGCTATTCAGGAAGAAAATTAAGTGAACCTAGTATTGTAGTAATATGTCTATGTTAAAGACCCAAAATATACTCTAAGAAAGTTCAAAATGCCATCATATCTCCCTAGATGGTGAGATTTTGATCTTATACTCTCCCAGTTTGACTTTATCCTCTGAAAGCTGACTTTTCTCTTCCAAGTGCCACTTAAGTATAGATCATAAGCCATAATTCAGTAAAGGGCACCTCTGGGTTATATGAGGATTATGATCAATGTAGATAAAATCTAAAGCATATACAAAAAAATAAACCATAGCAAGACTGAAAAATCCCTTATTCCTAGAAAAATTCTTGAACTTTTATTCTTCAAGTGTATGTATCTTGATAAATGGGCTTTGGTGTACAGATGTACTGAGTTTTAGACTCATTTTAGTTCTACAAACACAAAGTCTTTTTTTTTTTTTTTTTGAGACAAGGTGTCACTCTGACGCTGTGATCTATGATACTTTTGCACTCTACCGAGGGTGAGAAAATAAGACGCTATCTAAACAAAAAGAAAAAAATACAAACACAAAGTCTTAAGAGATTCTGCCCTTAAGACATTCTGCTTTTAGTATATTCTGTCTTAATAAACAAAATTTACCTTTTTCATGCTATTATTAATTTTACTCATTTCAAAGTACATCATATTGCAAGAAAAACATAGAAATCAACAAATTCAAATTATGTGCATTCAGATAGCACTCACCTTTAGAGAATCAAAACAGGCTATCACACGGCCATTTTCCACATGGCAAAGTCTTGGTGGATGGGCAAATTTGCAATCTGCATCATCTCGAAAGCAAGTTCCTCTCTGAAATTCTCTACAGACTTCTAAAGTCAGCCATTTGGTGTCACGAATCAGGGCAACATTGACAGCCGCCATTTTGAAAGCTAAATTAAAATCAAATGCACCCTGTTTAGGACATTACCGTGGACTGCTAAAGTATTAAAAATGAATTCAAATTAAATGTGAAAAGATAACAGCTTGCTTTGGTAAAATGTCTATTTGTTAGCACTTAGGTTTTCATTTAAATCGGATCTGATCTAGTTAAACAAACGGCCGATCATAAAATAAAAATTGCATTAGAATAACTAAAAATCAAATTAGAGACCAACTCCTAAGAAGGCAACTGTAAAGGTTAAAATATTGAATGTTTTATTTTTCCCTTAGCCAAATTTACTTCCAATAACTGGCAGACTTTCAAAAGAATTCTGTGCTCAACAGTTAATGTTTTCAATTATTCTTGTGAAAAGCATATGCTGCTGGCTGCCCTTGAACTTGTGGAATGGTCTCCAATCAGGGAGAGAAAAGTTTTCCTCCCTATTTCTTAGCTTTAAAGGATAATATTGTGGAGAATATTAGAACTTAAAAAAGAAAAGTTGGGTTGCAAAATAAAAGGGAGGGAAAATGGCTAAGAAAACTGAGTATTAAAGAAAAAAAGAAATGTACAAGTTGCTGACAGTGAACTAAAAGCATACCAGGTTTGGGAGGGAGGAAAGGGTGAGAGAAGGTAGGGTAGGGGAAGAGGTTTATAAAGAGATAGCTCTAGAGTTGAATCCAAGCAGCAGAGTTTTCAGAAAAGGCATTTTTCAGAACCTGCAAGAAAAAAACAAATAAAATTAGCCAAACTAATATAGTGCTTCCTTTTCAAACTCTAGTTTTGGAAAAGAAGTAACTATATTGTATTTTAAACAGGAAGCATCTATATATTGACAGTGCGATGGAGTACAGTCAGCTATTGTCAATAAGAAGGGCATTTCCTAGTGTAAAACCGCATAGTTAAAGAAAGCAACTGCTTAGATTTACTACTGTAGTACAAGACTGGGCAACAGTGCCACATGAGGTAGAATGAAAGATGGAAAGGTAAAATGTGCTTCAGATAAAGAAATAAATCTTTTGAAAAAACATTGGATTTTTTCTGTGCAGGCTCTCTTAGTCTCTATGAAGGGAAAACGGAACAACTCCAAAGGTTTCAGCATACTCAAATAAATGAGACAAAAAGCATTGTTCAGTGCTACATTAAATATAATATGGCTTTAAAATTTGCAGTTTAACTCAATGTTAACCAGCAACAATTTTGAGCAACTCAGTAGAAAAGATACATGTAAGATTAATTTACTTTCATTATGCCAGAAACACACACCAAAAATTAAAAAAAAATACACTAAAGCAAAAGTAAGCTCAGAGAATTAGAAAACTCAGCCAATTGTTAACTTCAACAAAAAATGGAATTAAAGTCTTTGAAAATATTTCACTTAATTTTCTGAAAAATATTTCTAATAACTTTACAGCATCTGAATTTTCTATTTGCCTTTTCCATATTCAAGATGAAATTCAATGTCACTTGATTTTCCAGATATAAGTACCTAGGAAATTCAGGCAAGCTTATCTATTCAAGAACAAAACATGTTGTTCTTTGAGTCACTCTTCATGGATATCTTTCTAACATACATTACATGCAATTTTGCCTTCCTAAAAAATACTGAATAAAATTTGGCTTGATTAAAGACTTGGGGGTCATTAATGTATTGGGAAGGATAATAGCTCTCCTCCTTCAGTGGCAGGCTGCTCCTTGTTACTTTCTCCACTTCTCTTACTGTTACACCACCTGTCACAGTGACTTTTCCAGTTCTTCTGGAAAACCTAATAGACAACCATGAGTGTTGAATAAGAGTTAGTTTCTAAATGGGGGGGGGTCCTTAGGGGCAAGATGCAAGGCTTTCTTGCACAAGTTCTATAACTGCTCTTAGTGCTTTCAGGGCCCCTTTGCTTTAAGATATATACAGGACCATGTTCTAAAGCAGTGCTTCTCAACCTTCCTAATGCCATGACCCTTTAGTACAGTTCCTCATGTTGTGGTGACCCTCAACCATAAAATTATTTGCGTTGCTACTTCATGACTGTAATTTTGCTACTGTTATGAATTGTAATGTAAATATCTGATATGCAGGATGGTCTTCAGCGACCCCTGTGAAAGGGTCATTTGAC